CGCTCTACCTGCACGCTCACGATTCGCGGCGCCTGCGATGCATCACGTGGTCCGTTGACAGGACAAAGGGTGACGTCGTTCAGGGAGGAATTACATTGGGCAAACGACAGACAGAACAGGGTATACCCCGGTCGAACCACGACACACACGGTCAACATTTTGTTTGGCGCATGGGCGTGGTGTTCTGTGGAGTATGATGGGACTGTAAAAGGTGCGAGCAAAGGGTGAGAGCGCGCGCACGCCGCGGCGCCGCGGCCTAGCCGTACCCCTGCCCTCCAGTGTAACACGTCTCCAACGCCCTGTCATCAAGAGCATTCCCTAGGCCCCCCCGATGGATGGTCGGTCACGATTTGGGGTCACGGGTAGGGTGTTTAGGGAAAATACAGTCAGACTTGAGCCGAACCTTTCGTAGGAAGAGTTGGAGGAGTTTTAATTTCCTGCGGTTTCCCCCCTGATCAGGATAAAGGGCCCGAAAATCAGGGTACAATTTGCAAAGAACGACGCAGCAGGTTACCTGTACTCTGGGGGTTTTCGACCGAATCAGGGTGAAAAGTGACCTGGCCAATCAGCTACGCCCGCTTAATGTGTCGCGGCTCTACCAGGGTAACCCTGTTGTGACATTGGCCCAATGGCAAAGTTCTCCGACTGATACGATAGCGTCCTGGGAAAATATCACTACCACGACGCCTTCACCCTTAGCCTATTTTCAACAATGCATCAGTTTCGAGATCGAGCACCCGCAATCGACCATCTCAGATTCAGCACGTAAGCGCTCATGACACAACTTTCAAGAAACCAGAGCAACAACAGAGGCCAAATCCACGCCTCACCTCTGTCACAAGCGTCGCATTGACGTCGGCCTCGGGAAGGAGCTCACCCCCGCAGGTGCACTTCGTTTGAGAGACCACCAACCTTCTCGCCGGTGTCTCAGAGAGTCGGGCAAGTCCGGACGGAGCGGTAGGTGGAAGAGCTAACCGCCGCATGTAGGTAAGCATGTCCGCCAGTTTTGAGCAGTATGATTCAGCGTCGCTGTCGAGAAACACCTGTGGAGTACGCGGCAACGCAGAGCCACCCGAAGAAGCACCCGCTGCTGCTCCGCCCTCTCCGGTACTCGACGCCGTCGAATCCAACCCAATGCGGGAAAAGACAGCAACGACCAGGGTGTGCGCGCACCTTGCGCGTTTCTTGTTCTTGTTTTCCGTGCAGGCCTCTCCCTTCACGGCCTGGGCGGGGAGGGTGCATGACTGGAATCACCGAGAAAAATAAGTAATCGATCTTTGGTCTGCGGCCTTCCATGCAAGACGTTTGTGTTGGGACGAAGTACCTCAGCCCCGACCCGTGCAAATACTACAGGAAATTGCAAACAGGGTCGCCAGCAAGACCTCGTGCCACAGCAGTACCGTTTTACATGTTCATCAAAGGGAAGGGCAAGATGTGTTTCTGGCATCCTGCTGACACAATCGCAGAACTCGCGGAGAACTCGCAGAACTTCTCCAAAACTAGGGCAGCCCTGCCGTGTTTTACATTTGTCTTCATTGATATCCAACACCAATGACAGTAGTTGCTCACCCACCGAGCCTGATTAGACATAACCCATGTTGTACACCACACATCGTTTCGCCGGCGTTCGATGGCTAAGATAAGTTACACAACACCTGCACGCACTTGCATATTCTCGTAGCCCTTACCTTGCACATGAAGTGCCTCGAAGATGTCATCCTCCGAGACCCCTCCCCTTCTGAAACTTGGTCGAACTTGACAGAACCCCAGTCGAGCTCCGTCGTTCGACTCCGCATGTCGAGAACCATATACTGGTGGCGTTCCGTCTCCACGACCGGCCACACCCCACTACGCTCTGCTCCTTCCACTATGGACATGACGTCGTTGCATTCTTCGGGCCGTCAAGTGACTACCCAACTTCGCTGCTGTCACAAGCTCCTTCGCTGCGGCGTAGTCTCTACTTGAGACCCCACCTAGCACGCTGGTTGCTCTCTTCATCGTATTCGCCGCCATATGCTCTAGTGCCAAGGCGGCGTGCTGGCACAGGGCCTCCGACAGCGCTGGCCACTCCGCCGTGACTCCCCACCGTTTGTTGTTGTGATACGAAACCCGCCGTTGCCCTTCGAAGTAAACGAGAACCGACGTGGCATGCACAGGTGGTGAAAGGCGCTGTCGGCAATAATATTGATCCGCCTTTGACGAAAATGAGTTGGATGTCGACGGTAGTTTAGAATCCATACTTCATACCAGGCCACACAAAGTCTGCGTTCTGAAGATGGCACCACGTGTCTCTACAAGCCCAACGCATTATTTCAACGATTAGCAGCGAAACACGCTGGGGCAGGAAACAAGGTTCCAGGGTCGAACAGCACGATCCTTTGTCTCACCCTTGACATTCTGTCCTCGAGCAGCTGGAGGTTCTGCGTTGCCGGTTCACACAGGTTGCAACATAAACTCCAGCATTCCCGGCTCGAACCGCAACTGTCGTGCTCTCGTCGCCGGTGCGCCACGGCAACTGGTACACTTTCCCCCGCGGCGGCGGCGGCGGCCCACCAATGCCGCGCCCCCGTCCTTGCCCACTCCGACCTCCGTGTCCTCGTCCTTGCCCACTCCCTCGTCCCACGCGTCCACGCCCCCCCCCACCCCCGCCTCGAGATCCTGCCTGGACAAGCTTGCGCCTGCTGGCGTCGGCGTTACAGCTGGACCCGTCCGGCGGGGAAAAAAACAAAGGCGTGGCGACGGTGAGGACGAGGGTTAGGACAAAGCGGAGGTACACGCAACGGTACGGTCTGCTCTCACAAATTCAAAGCAAATCGACGAGCAGAGTTTTCTGTCTTCTTTTCTGAAGAATACATAGCAAAATAGGGCCTTGCTTGCTTCCATAATCGCCGTATACATACGCGAGAAGGTTCCGCCGAAATGGTTGATGTCACCCAGAATTGCGCCAAGACACTTTAACACAAAACATCACCACGAACGATGTGCGCATACACATGTGTACATACCAAGTTCATGTACACAGGCGATTTTTTAACCCCTATCTGGCGACTCTCTCGAGCATACGCTTGGCAAATAACAACAAACAGAGCGCCGCACAGAGCCGCGGCAGAGCTCTGGGAGCTCTGGGAGCTCTGCTGTAATGAAAAGCACCGTTGGTGCCGGCTGTTTCGAGTTTAATCCTGATCAATTGTCCTCTGTTCAAATCGGTTACACCAACAGCAGTGTCTCTGAGGATGGTAATCACCTGTTACAGCCACATGCGCTCTTCAAGCCCTTGTGGTGCTTGCAGCACCTTGCGTCTACGGGTGCGGAGAGATTGAAGACGGAGAAGCACGCTCGGTCTCTCGATTTGTGGACCCATCTTCCGCAGTTACGGTTATCCTGGCACAGCTTGAATCTTTTGTCTGACCTCGCCTCCGGTAAGTTGCACATCGCACACTGCTGGTTGAAGTTGTTGTACGGTCTCTTCCCCGTCTCCACGTGCCCTGGCTCCTCCGGGTGCCCTGCCGATGGTGCACGGCCCTGGCCTCCACGGTCGGCTGCGCCGCGGGCTACCTGCCGCTGCGACGCAGAACGTGCATCGGACCGACCACGTCCTGCTGCCGGAGAGGCAGGTAGCCCGCGGCCGGCAGGGCCTGGGCGTAGAAGAATCCGTACCAGTGGACGCTGTACCGTTGGCGGGACGGTTCGCAATGATGGTACTGGAGGCGTTGGAGCTGGTTCAACTGGGGTAGGCGTTGTTTGATGAGGCCGTGATGCTCCGGATGCTGCTGCTGCAGCACCAGCTGTGGTTCCGGTTGCTGTGGCCACGGACAGGGCTCCGGGAAGGAGACCTGCACGACCCGCAGGTGGACGCGGTGGTCGCTCGCTCATGGCGGTCCGTGCGGTCTGGTGCGCTGGTGCGCGCGGTTATCAGCGGGGGAATGCTCTGCCCGCGTGCTGTGGTCTGTGGTGCGCGAGGGGCGGTGCGCGGGTATACGGATTTGGAACCGTTCTGCCCGCGTGGTTCCGCCCGCGTGCTGTGGACCAATGACAAGCCCCCAGATGATTACGATTTCTAGTCTTTGTTTCATATAATATTTAAAATGCCCGCGTAGACTACCGGCCAAAAGAGTCAGCTCGAGGGGCCTCGCACACACGAAAAGTCAACAACAGGGGTATCCTCAAAGGTTCCGAGCGGTTTGCGTTTCCCCCTTCCACACTTGATGCTGTGCCTTTGGTCCGACTATACTGCTGTCAAACCCTAAGATCCACATTAACACACCCGGCGGCACCGGCAGGACTCTCCTTCTAGTGTGGTTCGATCATTGTGTGCATTCGTTGTTGGCGCCGGACTAGAGCCGTAGGGATTTTGCGGGGCCGTCTTACACTACAAATTCCAGCGATCCGTTGTCAAGTCTGTCGGGGTGCGAGTTGCTAGGTGCGAGACGGTCGCAAGAGCGTGCTGTGCTTCAGTGCACAGACATTAGCTGCTCACAGAGTTCATCATTCCGCGAAGCCGACAGTAAGAAGACCGAGTGGTACTCGCAGCAGCCACGGAAAAGTGAACATGGGTCGAAGTTTTGGGGCCCGTGGGTCGGCCGGAGGATTCATATTGCTCCCACAGGACTTTATTCATTCCACCTCTAGACTATACCACAATAATAGTAGTCATATGGGCAGCAACTGCCAACCAATGGAGGGGGAACACCCTAGAAAAGAAGTACAAGTCACAAAGAAGGGCCCATAGCACTAGTTTGTGTGAGCTGGACGGTCGAAAAGGACGAACACCAATCAATACATACACCGTAGACTACAGTAGTCTATGCTCTATGCAACACAACATCCAACAGGATGTACGCGTACGTGCAACATACAGTATCCTGGACGAGGATATAAATATTCCTTGTGGTTTCGATTACACTAGGCACTACGCAACATGCATACACCCACACACCACACTCACACACACCGACAACAGGTGAATTCAGGGTAGAAGAGCGAGCGGCAAGCAATGCACGCTTACTCCCAAGTGGACGGCGACAAAACCCCCATCGTTTACTCTTCAAGTCCATTAATTCTTCAACGATTGCCATAAAATACCGCCCTCCCACCGCGAGCTGGTGATGGTATTATTGTACATACATACAAATGCCGTATTGTCCTTGCGCTTCAAGTGTCTCTACACCGGCTACAGGGGCACCTACTCCAACGTCTCTATCGACTACACTGGCTCCGTACCATCGCAGGCCGGGATACCGGTCATCGCGTCTCGGTACCCGGCCAGGAACTCCTCGAGGGTGATAGGGGCATGCTCCTCGAGCCTCTTGAACGATCCCACGGATTTAGCGGCGGCCATCAGAGGGGTCTTCATCATCGTGACCTGAAATTATAAGGCATCGGTGGCGGGTTTGCCGCGTAGTTATTGCGACAGGGCGGTGCGCGGCGTTTCCGATTGCGAACATTTTGCAGTTGACGTGAACACCAACAAACGCCAGGAAGGGGGTGGGGTATCTATCGTCTAGTATTGACTCCTCTCACAACTGGTTGTATCCAATCTGGGGAAACTCTGCGACCAGCGTGGCGCAAATCTTCTTGATGCTGGCGGCGATGGCAGAACATGTTCTTCGCCGGCACCGATCGGCAATGAACAGGTCGCCGCTGCTTTGCCGCCTGCTGCCGGGCTGGCGCGGCATGTCTCGGAAGTTCAAACGTTTTACAAGCTCTAGCAGCCGAGCGGTCCTGGCGATGGGGTTGTCGAAGAGACCAAGGAATCGGTTTTTGGCTTGGCGAAGTGTGTCGCCGGGTCTGTCGAGGAGCTTGCGGGCACTGGCCCTAGCGCGATCCCACGGTGAAGGGCGCGGCTCATGGTGGCGGTGGTCGTGGCCATTCTCATCGTCCCGGCTCTCCTGCCTCGCCCTCACGTCGTTAGGCCGAACAAATAACCGAATGGCGATCATGACCGTGGCCGCCAGACGTTTGGGCCAGTTGGTCTCGCCCGGCTGTTGTTGCTCTTGGTTTTGCTCTGCCACGGCATCGCCACGCCATAGGGGCACCGTGACCACCCTGTCGAGGACGCCGGCTCCGTCTCCGGCGTGTTCAACCGATGGGGTCCGGGTTAGCGGTGGGGTAGGAGGCGTGTCGATGCTGGTTGACGTGGTCGCAAGGACCTTGGGCGATAGGGTCAGCTTGCACGTTCGACACGAGGTGTTGGGGGGAAAATTCAAAGGTCAAACGTACAAGAGTTCAGTTCGGCGAAGGCGAAGTGTGCACTGGGACCTGTTTTCTGCTTCCACGAAACGTGTTTTTCCACTTTCCCTGCCCGAGTGGTCTCCTCTCTCAACCTTTGTGTGGACATTGTTGTGGGTTCGAATCTCGCCGTGACACTGTTGGAAAAGGGTTTCTTGGTTGCTGACAGCGGGAAGAAGATTCGTGAAACCCATAGTCTATGACATCATCACAACGTTGAAGGAATGCACCGCAAATTAAGTCTTGTACGACGCCGAAGAATGCACTCATTGCGTGGTCGGTAGTTCGATCAGCGGAAATTGATGAGACTTCGAAAGGAGTGTGGTGCTGGGGCTGCCAAACAATGTACTGGCTGGATATAGTAGCAGCAGAATGAATCGGGAGCACATCATCGTTGGCGTTCCGTCACGTGCCCTTGTTTGTACGATACAGCAAGGCGACAGTCAAAGCATTGGAATCGTTGGCTAGGGTTTGGTTTTGGCACCTAGCTGTTTAGATGTGTACCGTAGACGCACGCCAAGGGCACAAGCGACATCATATGTTGTCATGTGAAAAGAACATTTGACCGTAGCTGCACAAGTAAGAGGTGCGTTCTCGGCACTACAGCGATGAAACACGGGTACTTCGGCTGTACCTAGTGACACTCACCCAGTTGTTGCGGTTCACGAGGAGACCCCACGTGTTGGAGAAGGTACCGCCAAAGCACTGACTGCCAGCGCCGCAATGAACATGATCTTGGTGTAGAAAGCGTACATTGTGACAAAACATGCAGCTTTCTGTAGAATGCAGATGACCAACGATACATCGCATGGGGGCGGGCACAGGAAGATGAGGGCAGGCTCGAACCTGGCGGGGCAAGGAGTTGCGTCTCGGCCAAGACCTCAGGTGTAACGCCGATGACAACTGACCCTTCTAGCCGTGGGCACGAACTGTCAGCTCAGCAGAACCAAACCTATACATATACAAGTCCGGAGACATCGAAGAGCGTGCGCGTCTCTCTAACTTACCAGTGTTGGGGGTGGTTCCATCGCTTCCGCTGTGCTTTTCTGCGTGTTGCCCTCACAAACCAAGTGTTTTTTGGTGAGCTCCACATGATTCAAGCGATACCTGTCAACCTAGCGGAAATTCGCGTTCAAAAGCGAGTCGACCTTCACGACCGACAACGCCAACTGGTCCCACACGCGGTACAGGCTCGCTAGCTCACCTGATTGAGTGGTAGGGTTGAAAACGAAGGCCGAGAGTGATTCTGCCGGCGCTAGGAACTCGAGTGTGCGTGTGTGCACGTGCATGTGTGCACGTGCATGTGAAGTGGAGGAACGATCACCCCCCATACGAGAACGGGGAGTTTAACCGAACCCCCCGGTCGAGCGTTTCTTCATAGACGACAACGCCAACGTATTTCGGCGCAATCCACATGGTTGTTTGATGAGAGATAACCACTGGGAAATGATTGTTTCGTACGGGGCGAACGAACATGAGCACGCAGGAGGGCCTGAATTGCACAAGCCATAGAGTGTGACCAAAACGCTTTCGTCAACTGTACGCATAGACTACTCTAGATATTGGCGAGGACGTGATGGTCAGTGACGAACGAAGACGCTGGTCTGTTGATGGGAAACAGTGTACCATATTTTTCTGTGTCGTCCAGCAGAATGGATGTAACGGACTTTTACACCCAGGGCGCACAACCCATATGAACGAGATCGATCAGCCTGTCAGAACGTGAGTTTGTTCATTGTTGTTGTTGTTGTTGTTGTTGTTGTTGTTGTAAAGAACACAGAACGATCGCCCTCGGAATACGCGGCGACTTGAGATTTCCACAATTGTTTGCCAACGCTACAGTCGTACTGCAGAACAGCGCCCATGTGCAACTTTCTCGAAAGAAAACTCTTTCTGTAGAACTGCAGATGAGCGATGACAGCTTACGGATTATTAGCCGACTGAAAAAGCTACATGTATGACGAGATTAAACACTGTCCAACCAATTGTCTTTCCAGTAAATATATCTATTTTTTTTGCCTTCACTTCAAATCAGCGCTCACACCACTAGTGCCGTTTGCTTCAACCCGTGGTCACACAGAAGAGCCCCTCTCTACCTTCCCCTCCTGCGGTACTTTGCCATCGATTTTTAATGAGACAAGAATTCAGCACTCTCTTCCCTCTGTGTACACACGAACTAGCGCTATCCACTTGGCCAGGAGCGGAGGCGAGAGAAAAACTCACTTTGCAAGAAAAGCTCGCCTACGCCGGGATTCGAACCCCTGGCCTGACGTCTAGAAAGTTTCGAGGTTACCTACTAGACCACCGGGGCGTAATACCCCCCCTCCAACAAACTCCTCTCCTGCTCAAATAGTCAATCAAACTCTCCGCAGAATGGCGTACAGAGTGTTATCGCAAAGCGCGCACATGACCATGAACCCCCTTGTCCAACAACGAAAAGCCACATACATACGGATTCTGCACTGTACGCGACACCAAACCGCCGCAGTACGAACCAGGACCTTGTCTTGTGTATCCTTTTCCTCTCCGCCGTTCATCTACTCACTATCCAGCAGGCCACCAATAACTTTTTGGCCTACAGGGTACTTCATATATGGTGTGTGTATGTCCACACCCTGTCCCACGCGAGCAACAGGTTGGTAGTCACCAACAGCCGATAGGGTAGGGGTGCTTTTGTCCCCGATGTGGAACATGCGGCTCTAGAATGTGCCACCGCGTACGCCAAGATCAAAACGGCCGCATGTCATTCGCCATCTCTCTGTGATATCCATCTATCTTTCTATCTGCGTGTCTTGGGTTTTCATTCCCCCCACTTGTATCTCTCTCTCTCTCTCTCTCTCTCTCTCTCTTTCGGTTCCCCTTCTTTCGTATATCTCTATGTCATGTCTCAATATCTTGCCTGGCAGCCTATCTGCCTGTCTGTGAGCCCCCTCGAACCCAAGTCATGCACTATTGCACCAAACCCGGTCATCTGTTATCCCCGCTCCTGTCAATCACTAAAATTCAACACCAAGCCCAACAAACGACCGCCAAAAACGCCCGCAATCGCGGTGTGCAGCTGTACATCTGTTGCAGAACCCTTCGTCAAGCATCTGCTCTACACACAAACCCGTTGCAAAACGCCTTGCTGCAACCTTCAATTCATGTACAATCATACGTCCAAAACAAAAATCCACAAGCTGACCGCATGCCCCGTTTCACCGACTCTACGCAGTCAAAAATCCGGGAGCAAACCAAAATTGACGATAGTGAACCCATCCAGGCTTCTACTCCGATGAGGAGAAACGCTTGTTGTCGGGGAAGGTGAGGTATCCCTGCTATTACAAACGTTAATAACTGTCGTCATCACCCGATGGTGGCGGAGGGGGAGGGCGATTGGCCACAAACCACAGCATGCTCGTTCGACTGTGACCATTTCCGCCCGCCGTCTCGAACACGTCGTCTGGGAGGGCCATTATCCCATCCCTACCATCTTCCCACCTGGGAAGCACGAGTTTCAAATTCGGGGACGGGCGGGGCTCGTGAAGGGTGATTTGATGTATACATCAGAAAATGGACAGAAAATATTCTCTCTCGAAATTGGGAGAACCCTTCACTGCTTTTCTATTGGGCGAACCATGTTCCAGTTAACTGTCATCAGTGCGATGCCAGCGTTCATGAACGCATGACACCCCACCGTTGTAGAGCCAAGTAACCGCCTGGGGGTGTCACGCATGTTGACCCTTTGGCGGCACGAAATAAAGAAGTAGAAGTGAGACACTGGGTCAGCTTGGCGAGGACCATTTTTTTTTTTTTTTTTTTTTTTTTTAGTCTTCACTTCAAATCAGCGCTCACAGCACTTCCCAGGTGGAGGTCGACCCCCCTTCCCCAAAATGTCCGGTGCTCTCCC